AAAGACAGCCCCCGCGTTCAAGTAGCACTTGGTCGTCCTTTCTTGTGCAAGTAGTACAGCCCCCAAGCTAGAGACTGTCCCACTTTCGCGACTCCAGAGAAAGCGAGGAGAGAGCTACAGCCGCTGAAAGTTCTAGTTCTAAGGCCCATCCAGTTGGACCGCCCACTTGCTAGATGCCCTCTCATAGAGGGCCTGCGTTGTTCTCTGTTGGGGCGAAGGGCATTAATCGGATTGCAATTGCATGCCTTTTTGCTGACCGCGCTCGTGTCCATAAGTAATTCTGCTCTCTTTTGCCACTTTTATTCATTGGGAGCACATGCAGCCAAATGCAATAAATGGTAAAGATAAAAAAGGTAAAAATCGTAAAAATCACGAGTTGTGCAATTTTCGTGGTGCAAAGCACGCCATGCACTAAGAGTGCACGCTACCGTAACCCCAAATTCGGACGCCGAGTTTTGAAATTTTCTTCTTTTTAAAGTTTTTTTTTTTTAAGTTTTTTTCAGGTGTTTTTTTTTTTTAGTTTTTCGTATTCTTTTCTTTGCACTGGATGATATCTGCTACCGAGAGATGCGAAAAAGCGTTTTGATAGCCTATCATCGTCCCGATGATGCCCCCTTCGCCAGCTGTTGGGGGCGGGGCATAATATTGTAGTGGCGAGTAGCATCGAGCCCATTCTGTTCTTTTTGGTCCTTTGCGTTGCGTGAAGAGATAAACGTTGTGCACTCACTCTCTGTCTCTTGTTCTCTCATATCCACTGAACCACCATCATAACAGGGTTACACCAAACCCAAGTCTCAAAGCACCCACAAAATAGCCAGTGGTTGCACAGGGGAGAGCGGTGTGACTGTCAGGGAGCGATTTCGTTTATGGTGTTCTTGAGGACTCTTCTTGCTTTCTTCTTTTTTGGGGAGCAACTACCCATGACACTTTAGTGCGGGAACTGTCTTCTAGCACCTAAATGGAAACACGATTCGAAGTTACATCGAACAGACACCAGAGTACGTGAACAGATCGAGCAAATAAAGTTGGAGGGTGCTACGTGGTGGACTCAACATGCCATATGGTATAGCGCCTCGTGGGCGGGGTGATGCGAAAAGGGAGAGAAACTAGCTGGTGACGCGAACCGAGCGACGTCGCAGCGATGGCGTGTGGACTGCCTTTCTAGGGCACTAGCCTCTACAACCGCTCGACTGTCGCTGAGGAGGCAAAGAGCACGCCACGCATTTCGCCGCCAGTGAGTTTTCGTAGGTCTAGTCCGAGATATCCGAGGCGCGGCTTCGAAGCAGCGTCAGCGAAAGACGACCAGGTATTCCTAGCTAGTTGTTTGTGCACAAGCTAGGAATACTAGCTCGTTCGCGACGCCTTTTAGCAAAACATTTTGACAGCGAAATAAGTAATTTCGTCATAGTTTAGTACAAGGACCAGTAATTTGGGTCCAACAGATAAACTCAATTAATTAGCTAGCGACGCGATATCTGGAATTGCACTTTAGCTTACCTCCGCCCTTACCTGGATCGCTACCCCGCCGTAATTCTCATCTATTACGACCCCCATTTTCCTACCATTTTTCTAGATTTTCGCGTCATTCTACGAATTTTCACAGCTTTTCGAAATTCCCCCAGGGAACAGATGCCAGGGCGGGGTGAAGGCTCGCGATTTGAAGGAGGATTCATCAAAAAGACACCCCAACAGCGCCCGGAATCAAAAATCAGGAATTACTATTCGTGCAGTACCTCTGCAGCGACACCCACTAAAGGAGTAGTGGACGGGGAAGAAGGTATGCAATGCACTTGAAACGGGAAAAAACGTTGGGAAATCAATAGCTGGGGAGATTTTTACAGCAGCTCGGAAAAAGCCCTGTCCAGAGGCCCCGATCAAGTACGAATCCCTGATGGAATTTTCCGAAAGACGCTGTACTATTGATGTTTATGATCTTGCCACTTGGTGATAGGACTCGGACAAGCAGACATGACGCGCCACAGACAGCCGCTGCATAGACCCCCCACTCCCCTCCGCACTTAGATCTGCTTTGAAGCTGCCATTTCCCACATCACTTTTGTGTAGAAATACATCGTCATAGCTTGAGCTAGCCCCACCGAGGCATCATATCGATCGAAACGTTCAAATCCTTCTGCAGATCCAAAGTAAGTCGTATACATGGCGCATTCCAAATGAACTGATTACACAGAATCTTCTACAACATTTATTTCGTCAAAACAAGACCACTCGATGCCACTAACATTACTAAGCATTGTAACGTAATCAAAAACTACCAGCCTGCGAAGACACCAGTCATGACACCAAATAAAGCGAATTCGTTTGAAACTACAGAACATGGAACATAACAAAGAACAGTGTGCAAACGTATTTTCTGTGGGGGCATCTGCTGCAAGGCTATTAGGCTTACAGTGCACACGGTAAGAGCCGGGTACAGGCTGCTCACGAGACTAGCCCGCAACAACTCTGGTCGTCTGCGCTCTGGCGCTGTATTAGTTATGAGAAAGGGCTGTATGAGGGTTGTTGCTCCACCACACCCCCCCCCCCCCCCCATCTCCTTCCTCTAAATCTCAAACACGTTAGCGCTCAGAGAACAAGTACATAGCGTTAAGAAAAAAAAAACAACAGCACACAAAGTATGATACAGTATGAAATATGTGATCTTATGCGTTATTGCTGGAGTATAGGCAACAAAACTTAGGCCGTTTGAACTGCCCGACATTCAGATACAGGCGTCATTATGACACCACAGCTGTATTTACGTACATAATCCCTTACTCAGAAGAATTTAAAGAATGTATATAGGTATAGACGTCTCCAACGTCTATATCTAAATGTTGTGGCATTCAGACGGGTTAGGCCGTGCACTTGATACCCACCGCAAGATGTTGGGGACCCCATCATGACGAGAGGGCCTTTCTGACCTGAAATAGTACAATATAATACGGGACAGACAATCAAAATCTCAAATCTATTTGGCTATCACATTCCTCGGGGTCAATGGATGTCCCTGTTCGGAATGATGGTGAGAGGGACATTCTGCTTTTTGCTGGTTCCTTTTCCTTTGAATAATACCTGTCAATACAGGTCTCACCTTGGTGTGACCTGTACGCTCTCGTCAGTCGTAAATATCTCATGTTAATACATTGCGTTACAGGAATTCATAGGTTTCTACAGGAGGTTTCGGCAGTGATCGGTGGGCACTAGCAACTCCCCTCTCCCACCAAACCGAACAGAGCAGAGCGGATGACGAAGGCCATTTGAGAGGTGGGTTGATTTAGGCATGGAATAACCAACTCAACTGCAGCTTTTGGCGACCAAAGTAGTTCTGTTTAGATACGTGTGTGGCATGGCGGATAAGCATAGTGCTTGGAAAGCATAGGCTGCAGTTCGGGTCCCGGGTGGGCGATGCTTTCTACCTCTCAGACAGGAAAGAGCAAAACAATAGCAGCGATCAGCAATCTCACCGTTTAGTCAGATTATTTCGGTGGATGCCAAAACTCTTCTTTGTGATCCTTGTTTCTTACGGTAACACTCGGCGCCATATCTGAACATTACACCGATAAGCAGCCGCTACCGTAATCCAGAAATTGAGCGAAGAGCCTATTGAAACGACTCAGCCTACAGCCGAGATGGCGCTGCCGGTTTCGTATAACGTGTCACCTCATCTACTGTGGAACATGTTCATAATTCGCGATCGGATCGCGAATATGAAAGCGCCCTTACTTTTGGCGAAGTTAGTAATGTCGCTGCTGCGCACACGGTCCCAGCTGGCGATTCACTTTCACTACTTTCGATTATTGATCGGAGTTCGATAGTTGATCTGGGTTCTCTACTGCCCTTCCTGCTGCCGCTCATTGATGCTGAGGTGGTTCGGGAGAGGGAGGGAAATGAAAAATTTTTTTACTCACCCGTCATCACAACAGAACCCAGATCCACTTCCGCCACGTCAATCACGACTTTTAACCCGCCCAGATGTTTAATTGGTGTTAAACCGTTCTGAGAGGACAGTAAGTCCCAGACAAGTCTGAAAGACTAGCTTACACCGCCACACTGAATGTCACTGCGATACTGAATGGAAGCAAAACGCATGAAGGGGGGGGCGGGGAGGGATGTGGTGGAGGTGGACTTGGTCGCTAGGAAAAGGGTCTTCTTTGGTCAGAGGAGGTCGTATTATACTTCGATAGAAATTGTTCCGAGCTGCTAAAAAGTTTTGTTCGGCTGACTTTTCGTAAATTTTCTCGCCACCTGCGCTGTCCTCCTTCCCTCCGCTCTATGTGCGTCGATGTCTATGGAACCTCTCTGACAGTTTATTAGAGGCGACTTTCCCCCTCCTCCCTGCCTACTGAACACCAGCATTTCGGAAAAAAAATAACCCTTGGGAGATTGTAGGTAATTGGGAAAAGGGAGGTCGCACTGGAAGAGTAAGCACGGGAAGGGAAAGGTCGAACTGGCACGAACATTTCACCCATTCTACCGTGGTCCCGGAAGGGAATGATAACCTGCATATTTCCACCTTACAGGCACTATAAGTATGAAAGGTTCAGTTGAACTCCACGAAACTTGGTCCGACTTGTTCTGGCACCGCGCTTGTTCTAGTGGCCTCATCTATGCCCATCGATGAAGAATATGCGGCGTTGTTCGGGTTGGGAGGGGTATTTTGCACTTTCGCCAGTTCCTTATTCTAGCGCTTGTTAAGGTACAATCAAGATCATGGTAAGATTTATAGACTCTCGTCAAATGTAAACGATGATCCTTCTTGCAAAAGTCATCAGGAATTTACAGGTCTCCAAGGAGGCATCGGCTGTTATCAATGGAGAAAGGCATCCGGACCATCGAAATGCCCCGACCAAGCCGAACTGTGCCGAATATGCTGACGTCTACTGGAATCCACAGGAAAGACTAGATCCTTTGAAAAAAATCCTTCTATAATCCCCTTATAATAACCGTTCAATGCTTACAGCTTTGAATACCCAACTTTTACAAACTATCAACTGTGGTACCTACTTGCATGGCGTTTTTCCGGGCGGGCATTGCTCAGCATCTTCTTCCGCTTCTTCCGTTTTCGGCTTTTTAGCCTCTACAGTTTCAGGTTCATTCTCCTCATTCTCCTCCTTATGCTTCCTCTTGCCTGTTCCAGAAGTCTCAATAAGGGCTTCAACGGATTCCGCAACCATTTCCTCTACATCGCCATGATCCATGCCTTCTTTTACATACAATGGAGTTTCGTCTTCCGTCGAACGATCAAAATCGGTTTTCGTTTTCGAGCACTCATACAGCTTCTGAAAGCAACGGATTACCTTATAAGAGGAGCATTTCCGACCCAAGGGTCTTTCATTACAGTAGGCTCAAAGACAACCTTCAACTCCGCCAGATTGGTAGCACTCTTCCAATCCTTATCATTTCGAATACGCGTCACCCGTGGGAAGCGGATGGAAATACCACCAGCGGAATGGTTTTCTGATTTGGAGAACTCTGCTCCTGAAAGGTGTTCATTACATCAGGAGCACTCTCCGTTTATTTAATAACTCTTAACACCTTTCATTTACCTGAGAGGGGGGAGCGCTAGAGCTCACAATGTTAAACTAATCGCTAGAACGCAAAAAAGTAACAGCACCGAGAAAGGAGGACGGTCAGTTTCAACATACGGTAAACATGATCGAAGGCACAGCGTATGCTGACTGTATAGGCCAAATAGGCCTACCACTGTGCCTTCCTCACTGATGCACCCTTCGTATTGGTAAAAAGAGAAATCTCCGAATTCATGTTTTCCAGTTCGCTTTCACCGCATGGGCGGAGACAGTCGACCACTGCTTTACTCACTGCTGCTTCGCTTCTCTTACACTACGTCAGCAGGATGCACCAGTGAGCACAGCGTTAGTGGCTGTCTCCGCCACGTGAACTGTGCCTTCAATTCTCACGAATACCTCAGCAAGTTTTGCATTTCTAGTGTCTTTGCGTACACAATAGCAATAATTTAGGCAATCTATTTGTAACTCTCCAGAAGTTACCTGTAATTTCCCAGACTGGAGCCTCTTGAGGGTCTTTAATTACAAAATCTGGCACG